TACACAGTGAGGCCTGTGATTCCTGCAGAGAAGGCAGAGTTAATTTCCGTTGCCAGGGCAATGCATAGAGAGGAGTTTGGCCCAAGAATGCAGAAACTATTTCAACCAGAAACGGATGCAGCACTTGAAGCCATACAAACAGGTTCAACAGTTTATCATTAAAAAGTTCTGCAAGATTATCAATTATTTTTTTTGACAAAAAACTGTTGTATGCCCATGTATTTATGTGCCTATACAGTGTATGGTGATGATGTGATTTCATCATGACCATATATAGGCATGTCACATGTTTTTATCAAATAAAATTTGGTGGTCCAGACAGGGCTTTATACAGTTTTTTATAGCAGTTAATACTGAGTATTTTATTTCATATTAAAACAAATATATTTTTACATCTGATTTGCAAGCAGTTACGAAATTGATATTGTGATGATGAATATAGATTGAGGCAAAACATATTCATAATCCTGTCAATCATTTATTCTTTCGTCTCAATAAAAGAAAAACATATTTTTGTTATATATAATATAGATATATCAGATATTTATAAAGCATTAATGTTGCAATGACAAGCCAAACCAGTCACTCGTCACGAATCATGTTTTAGAGATAATGACCAAAACATGCTGTATTGTGGAAATTGTTGAAATCTATTTCGTTGCACTAAACTAACCTTTATATATCTCTGCATACATAATGCTATTCTGTTATTTTGCCTTTTTTCAATATTAAAACAACAATTTTTAACGATTTCGTGAGAGTTTCTGCATGAGAAATGACCAAAATCATAAACTTTGAAAGGCTGATTTCTCAGATATTGTTCTTTAAGCAGCTGTATGTTTAAATGCTTGTAACTTCATAAGGAAATCAAATTTAAATGATTGTTTTAATACCATTTTATGGCTTTCATTTTACTATTTAACCCTGTGTTAATAACTAAAAATCTATTTTTTGCGACGAGTGACTGGTTTGGCTTGTCTTAATCAATCAATTTATTGAATCCGCTTTAGATACAGTGTCACTAAAATGTATGGTTCATCCAAGATATACATACAAAGTATACAAAAATACTGTAAAATTGTTTTAAAATCTCAAAAAAATAAGTAAATCAAAATACTCAAGGTACAGTACTGAAAATAATATAAACTTAAACTACTGAATTTTAAACAATTAGTTTAAACAGAAGTCTGAAGACTGGTTCCAAAAATCCTGCTATACATGTAATTCATGAAGGTTATACATGCATACTGAACAAAAATACAATGTAAATTAAAATACAAGGGGAATTTGTGCAAAAAATTGCCAACAAAATAAACTTAAACTACTTGGCTTTAAACAATTAGTACGTATACATCTGAGGACTATATTAATTAGTAGAAACGATACACACTGATTTTTATATATTCCTATATACACACCTGCCTTTGCCACAAATTATTAATGTATGTTTTGTTTATAGAAACATTAATAGGTATACGCATAAATTTTTATGATTTAAATAATGAATTTATAAGGTAAGATGAGGATAATAATAGTTATTTAAAAAAATATTATTACTATGTAGGTGTTTATGTTGGCTGGAGGTTACCAAACTATAAGTTTGATTGCATCCGTGTTTGTCGTCTTTCACGCTGTTTCTGTGGCCATCTTTTACAAGACCATGCAAAATATAATGGTACTGTATAATTTTATATGGTAGTAACTTTGATATGGAGAAACACCTCCTTTTTGATATATAAAGGTGACAGTAAATATTTGAGAAAAACCTATTGTCGCTAATGGGATTCGAACCCAAGACTTTCTCATTACCATTCAGTAATGTATAGCCCTAGAACTTCACTAGCACTTCATTGAGGCCTGCATTTGATAACATGTTTACCCTCAGTAAATCACAGTTTTTGGCTTCAAGATACTCTTCAAATATTCGGACGGCATACTTGTTTTTTTCGTATTATCACTGGCTGCTGAACTCAATAGCACTTCTCATGTTCATCGAAATCTGGAACACGCTACCATTGCTGTTCCTAGCCTACAGTGTGTAGCAGAGCGATCGTCAGCTTCCAGGTCATCAAATTCGGTCAAATTTAAATTAGTAGAAGCGCGCCCTCAACAATAGACTTAGCATAATTGTCTACTTTTCATGTACGAGCGAATTGCGAGAAGGGCAAAACAAAAAGACTATTGCTGGGCTACTATTGCCTGGCTCTTAATCAATCAAATGCCTGGAATCTATGTATGATGAATAATGTATATGATAGTAACTGGGGTATGGAAAAACACCTGCACACCTGCACAGGGATAAATATAAGGTGGTGGCAATGATTATTTAGAAAACATATTGTCCCCATCAGGATTATAACCCAAAACCTTCCGATTTCCTTTTCAATGCTTATGTTGGATGTTTTAACCAGTAGCCATTTGCCTCAAGAAGGGGGCTACTTTTTCGACGAGTTATGGGGGCTTATTAAGAAGACTAAAGATGTAGGGGAAATATGAATGGCAGCCATCGAGTGGTGGCTCCAGAAAATTATCAACAGGGGGCCCAACATCTCGCAATTCGCTCGTACATGAAAAGTAGACAATTATGCTAAGTCTATTGTTGAGGGCGCGCCCCTGGGTTGGTTCATGGGGATGGTTTTTATGGATTAGTATGGCCCATATTGTACATGGGGGGGGGGGGTGGTGTGAAATGCCATTCAGCTGCTGCTGCCACTGATAGTAACCCTTAGAATTATAAGCCATCAGGAAACTGATGGCTTATAATTCTAAGGCATCTTCAGAAAGGTCTATATATCCTCCTTGTGAATATTTAAAATGTCAATTATATTAGTAAACCAATTGTGAAACAGTGGCCAAGCCCCATTCTGTACCCCCACCTTATTGCCTGTTTTATAATTCTTGAATGAACTTCTGCAACATTGTGGAGTGGAGTTAGCTTGGTGGTGAAGATGTTTGACTTCCAATCTCTTGGTCCTCTGTTCAATTCCTGCCAATTTTCCCGTGTCCAAAACAAACTCCACTCCCTCCCTAAGCCTCATATTGAGACTTAACTTATGTGGAGCAATGTGCATGTTTGTCTTGTGAAGGGATCGCTAATTAGAAAAGTTTGATGTTTGGCATATTCTTAGCCAATTGTACCTAAAATTTAAGAAAATGCAATAAAATAGAACCTGTGTTGGAAGTTGAACATTGTATTAATCATTATTTTGCAAAAGTGTTTTAAATTCTTCAGCAAAAAGTCTGCGTGTCCCTTGTGGTCAATGTGAGTGCAAAGCATTTGCCTTTGTTCCTGGACGACCAGAGGATGTTGGGGAATTCTGGTTCCAGCGGAGAAGGAACTTCGACCCATCCACGTGGCGAGCAAAGTGCCGATGTAAACACACTCATGAAGAACACAGATGTAATGGGATGCGACATTGTAAAACAAGAGGTCAGTACAAACAATACATTGTGTTTATTCATATAACGCCCTGGGGTGTTTATTGATGAGAAACATTTTTGAGGGGGTGTTTTATTTTTGTGCGTAAAATGAGTAGGCCTACATTTATACTCAAATGTCTTGTAATTTCACTGTAAATGTGGAACTACAACACATGATTACCGTTTATTTGAGGGAGGCTTTATTCAAGGTGAGGTGCCGTTTATCGAGGAGGTGTTTCTTTGATTAAATACAATATCGACATTTTATTATATTCTGACATGGTTCAGTCTTAATTTTTTGAATGATTATAAGTACTTTGTACATTTGAATCACTTTCATGGGAATCGAACCCATCTCCTCCAGTGTCATTAGCATGCTATCGTACCACTAGACCACTATGGGCTGGCTTGTGCTAATGGCTAGGGTTGGGTTCTCAACTGGTGGCATGCCCTGCAAATGCCTGTTATGCAGCCTGCGAGAACAAGCCGAAAGTAATATTTTCCGTTTGACTTGGGCCTAGAATTCTAACCTTGATAATTTTGCATTCTGTTTTGCCGATTAGGCCTATATATTGGCCCACAACTTGTAGCGATTTAATCAATCAAATTGGAAGAACTATTGCAGCAAACAGCAAAGAATGACTGTATTACCGATGACCCAGTTTGTGTGATAAACACTTTGACTTTTGCAATACCAAACACAAGGGTAACTTTCTTAGGTCAAGATGCTCTGTATGAGAATCTAGCGGCTTATTATTTTCAAAAAATGTATAATTCGGGAAGGGGGACCACCCGCTCCCAAGGCTCGCGCCTTTGGCGCTCCGAGGGTTCTACACGCCATAGTCAGGGGCGGATCCAGAAATGTCCAAAATGGGGGGCCGAAAGTTGGGCCGATTGAGACAACACTGTCGTAGGGGGTCCGGGGGCATGCCCCCGCGAAATTTTTGTGTTCTAGACGCCCGAACATAACATTTGAGGCATTCTTGGCCATCATTTTTTTCTTTTTCTCTCTTTTTTTTTCTTTTTTTACCTCCCAAAAGGGGGGGCCGGGGCCGGGCCGGCCCCCCCCTAAATCCGCCCCTGATAGTACACCTCTTGCCCTGGCCCTTCAAATTTATTCAGCGAACAAATTTGGCCCCTAGGGTTGAGAACCCCTGCTATGCAGTATTGGTTGGTATAATCAGGTTAATAACTCTAAAATGTTTCGGCTAAAATTCCCCAGAATCAGTTTTGTTCCTTTAAGTGATTCAAACATACTATTTAGCTGTGCATTATGCACATTATATATAAAAACATTTTTATTTGACCCACATTGATATACCCCTACCCTCACCAATAGTAAGGGATTGAAAGGGATCAGACAGTACATTTAAACAATGGCACTTTGATTTGAATGCAAACTACGACCCTTATTTGTATATGATTTTTTTAGGATGCAGTTGTAGTGCTTTCAATTCTAATTTTCTGTGTGCAGCTTGCGATAAGCACTGGGAAGAACATGAAACTTTGTTCGAAGGAGAAACTGAACGTAGACAAAATGGCATCCCATATGGTAAGACATTAGGTTGGCATATATTGCCAAGAGGCTGTGTTGTCAACAAGAGAGTATCAAAACAATTGTCGCCTAAAACACTTTCATAGTGTTGATAACATCATAAAAAAAAGAATAATAATAATATAACATGGTTTTTAAGCGCCCTATAATAATCTCTTGGAGTGCTATTACCCACATAAATGACCAAATAACAAAATTAAATTTAATAAGATGCTTTTTTAGCCTGTCCTTGAACATAATATAATTAAAAATATATAATTAAATCATATTTCAGTATAATAACTGAAATAAGACATTTTTTAAAGGCTCCAAACTGAGCCACCAACAGCAGTGACCCTGGCTAGGCATAGTTGGGCCCAATTTTGATGGCTATGTTCAACTGATTTGGGCCCATTATTCGGGAAAAAGAAAGTACTGATTAATATCTCTAGGCCTCTTAACAGGAGTTCCTGGCTTTCGCAGCAAGAGTGTTCGTGCCACTTTCCGCCAGCCATAGCCAGCTCCTGGTCAACTCGTTATCTTGCACTCGGGATGTCAGATTAAATGAATGAAATTCTTCCATATATGTTGTTCTCTACTACTTAACTTCACACACAGACAAAGAATTTATGGCATTTCGTTTTAAAAGTGTTAAATAATATTGATAATAAAATGATGTATAATGTAAAAATATTGTTTTAATTCATTTTATAATTGCCTGAGAGCACTGTGATATTTAATCATAGTTCTGCATTAAAAGACCATCCGGTGTTGTTAGTCCATACACCACAAGCACTGTAACCCAATGTGGGGGCAGATACAATGTCGTGTTCTGTTGAAAGTCTTGGCTGTGGGCACTGCAGGCTTCTAATTTCCCACTATACACAGACTTTGGTGGCATGTAAAACATGTGTAACTGTCAAAGTGACTCCTAAAATAGACATTTTAATTGATTGATTTTAAATTGATTGTACAAGGCTGCTGTTCTGTATATTCAAGTTGTTCCAACAATTTTCTAAATTATATAAAAAACTTATCATTACATAACAATTTTTATAATTAGTGTATTTTTCAATTTGCAGGCGAGGAGTATTTACCATTTGCCGAGATGCCTAATCTCCGAAACATGGCATTGACCGGGGTTGATGATGATCCGGGAATATATCGAGAGCTGGTAGAAGGAAAGGGACCAATTCCACAGGGAAGACAGATAACACAGGGCACCCCAGTAAGGCCTAGTGCTAATCCATCGTTTAAACCTGTCTGGGACTAATGTGCAATTTTTTATAAAATGTTAAATACTGTATTATTATTGTACTTACATTTAACTGTAAGTATTAATGGTTGTTATATAGATATACAAATATCAACCCAATTTGTTTATATAAGGCCATTATGTATTGAATTTTTATCCATTATTAAGTATGCAAATTATAATGATTATTCTCAAAACCAAAAATTTTCGACCTTATTCTATAATTTATTACATGTTCTTTTGTTGTGTTGATGTATTGAAGACAGATATGACAGGGCACCCAAAGAAGGCCTATTGTTATAGTCCATCGTTTAAACCTGTCTGAGACTAAAAGTGCAATGCTGTATTTAGAAATATTAAATACTATCATTATTTTAATTACAGTACTGTATATATTAATACTTGGTATATATAGATATATAATATACAACCCAATTTATTTACATCGGACCATTAGGTATAGAATTTGTATCCATTATTAGGTATGCAAAGTGTATGAATATTTTCTAAATCAACGAGTTTAATCAATTTTATATTTTATAATATGTTATTGTGAAAAAGGAGTTGCCCTAACCAGGATTCGAACCTAAAACGCCTTATTACCACTGTGGCATTGTTGAGAATTCAAATCCCAGTTATACACTGATTTTTATTGGGGCCCTGCATGTACACTTGGGTAGTCGAACAACACTAGTTGTTATTGCACTGCGCAGATAAATATGATATTGCCCTCTCATCTTCACCATTTTAACAAGACAGTAGAAAGATACTTTTTTTAATTAAATCTCAGTACAATCTTTGGTAGAGAAACACTTTCATTCTGGTGATTAAGATATTTATCTAGAGTATGTGACAATAATGATTGTAATGGAAAAGGTGTATTAAAAATAACCGAAAAATGATTGTTTTTTTTTTCATTGACTCATCATTTCACAGCAGCGACGGTCGTAGTGGTTTGAAGTTTTTCTCAAATTAGCCATAATGCTGAGGTTTATATTCACTTTAATAAAAATAAACTTGAATGTATTTACATTTTACGAATATCAGCAACAGTACAGTACAGTAGTTGTGATAGTACAATAGTAGCAACGCAGAGCCTCTATGTTTGTGGACGCATATCTAATTTGGCAAATCTGCCGGTCTGCTACCGTATCACACGATTCCGACGTTTGTCAGGATTAATAATAATAACAATTAATTATCTACATTAAATAAAGAACAATCAATATTACAGCTACATCAACATGCCGGTACCGGTGAGGCAAGTAGCCTGCCTACCACCATTGAAAGTACTGTACAGTATTATTGTGGAATGTTGGGTTCTCATCCCGATGGTGACAAACACGTATATATAGAGTTTATTTATTTGCGACACTTCGCCTTTGAAATGGCAGCACTCACAAACAGTTGTGCTATCAGACCCTGACTATCAAACAGCTGGGGTACTAGGGTGGGTGGGGTCTTGAGAAGAGAGCGTAACTGTCTCTTATACACATCTAGATGTGTATAAGAGACAGAGGAAATGTAAAAAAAAAACAACAAAAAAAAAGGAATTGGTTTTAGAGTTATACAAGTTAATGTTCGTTTAGCCCAACCATATTGAGCTATTTGTGTTAACTTTTCATCACTTTATGAATAAAATATTAAATGGCTATTTATTTTGATTGTACCATACTTTAAGAGTATCAGATAAGTTGTAGCCCTATGACTACAGCATCAAGTTGCGCCACCACTCTTAGCTACAAATTGATTACCATGTTGAAAACACTGACTGATGGATTCGATGTTGTACGGCCCGAAATGTAGAATAAATGGTGACACGAAAGAGATGTCATTTTTGTGCTGATCACTTCCAATAAGCAATTGTTTCTACTCTAGGCCTACTAATTTGAATAAAAATGGATTGACTTTAAGGCCTACAATTAGGAAGTTGTTTGCACATCACACAAGTTAAGTGATACTGCATTCTTAGTGTCTTAGATTTTATGGGGGTATGGGAAACCCCCAGCAAAATATGAGTTGGTCATTCTTTCATCCCTGCATTTTTGGTCCATTGTATTAGTTCTGATCCATTGTATTAGTTCTGACATGTTTTGGCTTAAATTACTGGCAATTTTTAATCTTATAGCTGACAAACAAAATACATGCAATGTATTGGTGTTGAAATGGAAATATTTTGGAAATAGAAATATGGGGATTTGGTTTAGTGTCACATATTTAAATGTAAAAATAAATATAAAGTATTCCCAATAAGTTCCAAAAAGAAAGTGAAGTTAGTACATATAAAACGCTTTACACATTTACTGTAAATGCACTAATTTAAATATTCATCTTATAGTTTCAAGCTATTGTTTTTGCCTACGGTAATAGACCATTTTCCAACTACCACTGGGGGCTTTCAGAAGTCTAGCACTTCGCTCTACGTAGTTACCATCATGGATTAAATAAAAGATAACAAATTAAATTACTAACGAGCACAGATATTTTAAAACTGAAAAACACACAGTGCAAAGCAATTAATAAGAAAATAAAAGTTGGAAACGTTACACTGAGAGTAAGAGAACACTAGACCGGACATTGGAACAAAAGGGAAGCAATTCGTAGTTGATAGAAATTTCGCCACAAACTTAATTAGGAAAACTAAATCAACTTTGAAAATAAGCTTGCAGACGAGATAGGATTTAATGAAAAATGCTTTTGGAAATATGTGAAAAGTCAAACCAAGTGTAATCCTGGGGTCCCTGATCTCATTGCTGAACGGAGTTCGCGTGTCTAATGACCTATTTACCGTACTCGCGCGAAAAGCGCCGGGGCGCTTAAAATATGTTTTGCACTTTCTGAGGGGCACATATTCAAACGGGGCGCTTATTCAAACAGAGTGGAAATTGAGGAGGAGCTTATGGAAATAGATGAAAATTCAGGGGTTCTTATGGGAAATTATTAAAGGGCAATTTTTGAATAAAAAAAAAATATATATATATAAGGACATTACGAATGGTGGTTAGGCGGAAAAGATAATCGTCCAGAGAACATGACTCATGACAAGAATGCGTGAATATTTACATCAGCAAAATAGCAAATGCAATTAGTGGTAGTGGTAGTGGTTAGCTTGTTGGCCATCGGCCGATTGAGATTAGCAGGATAGCAGGATCATTGTATTTTTTTCTTGAAAAGTCGTATGAGAATGTGCTAAAGGTCGGAAAAAGAAAAAGAGGAGTAGGACTAGGCATAGACAAATATGTAAAAAGGGTAAAGTTGGAAATATACTGTCTGTCCAGGGATCGGAGCTCTCAGTCTGTCCAATAGAAATATCCTCATTTTGATATTGACCTAAGAAGAATGTGTTTCCACTCTGCAGCTCAAATCATGCCAAACCACAGTCCCAGGATTGATTTGATTATTGACTTGCTAAAAAGAAAATCTTATTCAAATTAGAAGTGGCCCTTATTTAAAGCGTAAGCGTTTGTCGGAGCGTGAAAGGTTTGGTTTCCCAACCTTGAGGTCGGGGTTTCAATCCCTCGCTGTGCATTTCGCTTGTGCCCTTGAGCAAGGCACTTTATCTGCATTGCTTCTCTCCACCCAGGAGTATAAATAGGTACTTGGTGGGGCTGCTTGCTCCAGCGCTGAATACAGCAGCAACACTAAGCATTGACCAGGGACAGAAGAGCTTCGTATCTGCAAAGAAAGGCGCTATATAATAATAATAATAATAATTCTGGATTTATCTATATAAATATATGAATATGAATAATGAATAAGGAAATTTTAACGTTAGGAGGGGCGGTTATTCGTGTTTAGAAATGAGGATCTGTCAGATATCCCTAATCTATCTTTTTCTGCTGATACATGTTTTGTGGATGATATCTCCTTTGTCAAGAGGACACATGCAGATTCTGTCTAGTTTGAATACCAATAAATCTGCTGGAACTGACGGGTTACATACTAGTGTGTTGTTTGAACTTCGATCTGTTATATTATTACCTTTAAAACTTATATTTAACAAGCTTTATTTAGAGGGTGCTGTACCCACGTCCCGGAAGGAAGCATGGGTGGTTCAGATTCTAAAGAAGGGTAATAATTAAGAACACTCCATCTAATTATAGGCCCATTAGTTTAACATCGATTGTAGGGAAGATCACGGAACGGATCATTAGAGACTATCTTATGGAATATCTTGAGACAAATTGTTTATTATGTATAAATATGGTTTTAGGAGTGTTTTTCTTGTGCAACATGTTCACCTAATACAATAAATATTGGGTGACGGCCCAATTGTAACATCATCTACAGGAGAAGATAGCAGGGACGTAGCCAGGATTTTGAAAGGGGGGGGGGGAGCCGTTATGCGAATTACGTATGACCCCGGCGGGGTCAAGGGGGCGAATCCCCCTGTGAAGTAGCGCAATCTGAACGTTCTTAGGACTGTTTGAGAGGATAAAGTGAAAATTGCAATAGACGCATTATAAATAAGCGCAAAAATAATTATATAATAAATCAACAGTGGCAGA